CAATGAACCAAGATCAATATCAGGGCTCTGAGGGTACCTATGGGTCATAACTGCCCTACCCAGTGGAGAAGTCACTCACCCTGCCTGTGAGCCTGGGGGTCCCATTTCAGCTTCCAGATTCTACCTGAGCACATCATAGGTGTATCCATGGCTGGATCCATCCCATATTCTTCCACAGTTACAGATTATGTTTCTCAGCTTGACATCTGACCCAGCTCATCTCTTCCTTTATGACAATCTCCAGACAACTGGCAGAATCTGCCTTGTTCTACCAGCACCACTCACCCTGTGTGTAGACAGAGGGTGGTGCCTTGGTGTCACTAGACCAGATAAGCAATCAAAGTTATGCACTTATTCTTCCAATCACTGAGTCTGAGCAGCTTTGTTACTTCTGAACAGCCTGTCTTTGCATTACAGATGATATACAAAAGCCAAAGCCCCTGTAGTGCTAGGAAAATACCTGAATGACAGCAGTCATTGCTGAGGTGGAAACAATTTACATCAACAACGCTGCTTAGTTTTGTCCCAACAGCCATGACCTTGCAAAAGCTCATTTACCCAAGGAGGACAGGTATGCCCTTTTACTTGAAGTCAATTATGCAGCTCTACTGCATGACTCCGTCCACTTTAGGCATGTGGTCTGTGCGGCTACATGTTACTGCCAGTGCCCTTCCCACTGCAGTGCAATTACTGTCCCATACAACGAAAGAGAAATTAATTCAGTTCATAAAAACACTCTGTTCAAACAAGTGTAAGCAACAGTATTCCACATAAAATGCATTTTTGCATTAAAAATACCATTCATCATTTTCTGAAATATCTGAGCATTAAGGTTGAGTCCATCCCTTACCTCCTCTCTTGTTTAACTTGGCATAGCCTGGCACGTAGCTGCTTGTCATGGATGATGAACTGCTGAAGGAGGAATGGGGTAGTGCTGAGACCAGAGGTTCATCACACTTTTCTGAAACACAAAAAAAAAAAAAAAAACCAGATTCACATTATGCTTTTAATTATTCATAGGTATTAAGGGACAGTGTGCCCTTTATTTTCCCTCTGAGTAATAACATATCCTTGTTTTTTTTTGTACATCCCAGCTTTTCAAAAACAAAAATAAATCCTAGAAACACAGACCAACAAAACAAAGAAAAACCCACCACAAAACTGACAAACAAACAGAGGCATACACACGGACATGAGAAAATAAAGACTTCCACCATTGACAAAATAAGGTAACGGTAGTATTAACCATGAGCCATCACCCTCCTTAGGGATACAACAGCTGAACAAAAAAGCCTGCCCCGATATACCTGGAATGGTTTTGGTTAAATGAAAATTTAGTGCTAAAGAAAAATATTATCATGAAAGCTTTCTAAGAAGTAGATAAGATACAAATTTTCATTTCCGTAATAGAAGTGCTGATAAATCCAACATTAAGAAATAAATGAGAAAATAATGAATTATCACTAACACCAGATTCATTGAAAAATTTATACTAACTAATCTCTATAATTCATTTGAGTACTTCACTTCCATTTTACCCAGTTACAAACAAGATTAACTTTGTATTAGCATCTAAAATGGAAAAAAAAAAAACCCAAACAAAATCAGTATCCTAGTCTTCCTAATAAGAAAAAAAAAAAAAAAAAAAAAAAAACAAACAAAAACAAAAAAACCCACTAAAACAAACCTCCTGCTTTTGCATGATATAAATCACAATGAAGAGATCTGGCTTTGCATTTTTWAAATATTTTCGTACTGCCGTTTGTTGAGTTTTTTATTGATATTTCAACAGATAGGAGAAATATGTAGTGCAAATTACCCATTCACATCACAGGTAAAACTAAAAAAAGCCTTAGCCTACACCTGTAAGCCTGACTAATCCTTTGAAACACATGCACTGCAGCASAGTTTCTGCTGTAAGTGGAGATATCCTCAATTTATGTATCTAGAAAGCATTAGGTCACCATAGGTAGTTTGCCATAAGTCTAAGTATGCATAAGCAACATATTTAATGCTCAGCCATAACACCTGATTYTGGTACAATTACAAAACAGTAGTTTGGTCAGACTGGATCACGGGTGGAGACCAAATTAATCCTACCTTCTAAAGAAGATCTTTAAAGGAAAAAATATTTTGAGTGAACCAAGTAATATAAAATGCAATACTCCTAAAATGTGCAGTCTCACGTAATGAAAATCAAAATTACTTTCACAGCAATGGAAACTGAAGCACAGGAATACAGAAGAGCCTTGATAGCAGAATCAGTATTTTGAGATTTAACAAAGTAAATAAGTGTCCTTTACAAATCTCTGAATTAACCAACATTAAGGGAAAAAGAAAATTCATACAAGCTGTCCCGTCCCGCTCGAAAGAGGGAGTCGGGGAGGATTCTTTTAATAGATTTCTTGGACAAAAAATAAAGCGCAAACGCGGCAATATTATATCTGAGAACTGTTTATTGATAAAGAAGGGTAAGTGTTCCTACCACTTCCTACCAAGGCGGGGAATAGAAAAGAGGGAAAAGGAGAAACGGAGAGAGACAGAATAGGAGACAGATTGTTACCGCTCTACCCCGGGCACCCCGTCGACGTTGGCAGAAGGAGTGAGTGTGTGTGTGTGTGTGTGTCTGTGTGTGTGTGTGTCTGTGTGTCTGTGTGTCTGTGTGTCTGTGTGTCTGTGTGTGTGTGTGTGTGTGTGTGCTGCGAACGGCGAGGAGCCTGCGCGGCTCCTGAGGCGGCTGGGCGCGATTTCCAAACAGCAGCGGCTGCGTGTCCCTCTCGACAGCGGAGAAGACGAATCTGTGGTTATGGGCACACTCGTGGGATCGCTGCGGCTGCGGGCACTGCCGGACACACGGCTGGGGCACTGCCGGACACACGGCTATGGGCAGGCTGGGGCTGCGGGCACTGCCGGACACATGACAGCGGCTGCTGCAGGCGGCGGCTCCGTCGGGAAGAGCAAACACGAGGTTGTCGCAGGGTCGAGATGCCTCGGGGAAGCGGCGAAACAGAGCACACGGAGAAGACAGGTGCGAACAGGGAAGGCAGGACCACAGGGAGAAAAGGAAAAGCGAGGGAGCAGGGGGAGGCCAAGGTGACCCTCGAGGCGGGCCCCCACTACCTCCAAGAACTGCAAAGGAAAATGGCCCCCGGTTGTGTCGCAGTTAGCTGCTTTTATATGCCTCGGTCTCCTATTTCCCGCGCGTTTTTTCCGCGGGCTTTTTTCCCGGGCATCCGGGCATCTGCCCCACCAACAAGGTGGGGGCAAGGCGCTTGCAGAGCAGTGGGGAAAGCTGTCTCTCCCGTGACTGGCTGTCAGGCAAAGCCTCCCGAGGGACAAGGCTCCCTGCAAGCACACTACTCTCGGAAGCCATGTTTTACCTCGTGGAACATATGTTGAGGCATAAATAAGAATCAGACTGGTCTCTGTCACAAGCACAGGCAAGAGTAAAGGGCAGCTGCTTTGAACTGAATTAAAGGACAACTCCAATGACTTTTAAGTTCACTTCCACACTATTTAATGATAGAATTTTGACAAGGGAAGACAAATGGCTTTAAACATTATTGTTTGTACCAYGAACCAGAAAGATTGATTCCCTCCTGCCTATGCTTTTGGCTGCAGCTGAGCAGCACATTTGGTCAGAAGCTGCAGCCAGGTGCTCCTCACATCACACAGCTCCAGCARCACACTGGGGCTGCCCACACCTCCGCCTGGGAGCAGGGACATGGCACACAGCAAAGGTCTGTGCTTYCAGATCCTGGGTGCCAGGGAGCCTTTACTTCAGTCAAAGCAGTACAAGGTTAGAGCTTAAGTACAGAAGCAAGCAGCAGACTGCCAGAATTTGCAATTTTTGTCCTAAGTGCCATAATCATATAAACACAGAACTACTTGACAAAGTTTTTTTCAGGTACCTATTTATCTATCAGTTTATTTTCTGTAGATCATAATAACTTTTCAACTTGAAAACTGCTTGTGCTGCCACTTCATTAGTATTACCTAGCTAGAGTCTTGAAGGCATTTATTATTTATCCTGTTGTACAGGCAAAAATGTAATGAAACCTTTAAAAGCAGAACAACACATAATCAGAAGTTTTTAAAAATACATAACAAAATATCTTTATACCATTTTCCTATGCTTACATYGCATGATATTTAGTGTTAAGGAAAATAACATATTCTCATCAGTAATGAAAGCTAAGATTGAACACCTTTGTTCTGTTTCCTGAGGGGTTTTTAATACATTTTGTTAAGTAAATTGTAATGTTTATACAATTTTCTGTGACCCATAGCTTCAAACAAGGGGTGAGAGGAAAAATCTGCATCTTCCTGAAAATATATCAGAAACAGAAAAATGTAGCTACAAAAAATGTGTTCAAGTTATGCAATTTGATTTATTACTAAATATAATGGGAGTTTACTGCTTACTGTAGTCTAAAAAACGTGAAATAGAGGATCTATCTTAAAACATAAATGAAGTTCTAAAATGTTATTTTAAAAAAAAAGAGCAAACTCTAAATTTCTGCAACAGAAATAAACATGGATTTTTGACATTGTGCTCAGAAACAACATGACAGATGTAAAAAACCTCTCCTAACAATAGAAGTTCATCAGAACTTCATACCTCTTCCTGATTCAAGTRTTTATTGAGAAAATCTTATTTATTGAGAAAATTTATTGAGAAATCCTTTTAATTGGTACCTTTTAGCTGGTATATCTGTGCTATTATTGAAGATGCACAAAAGGAAATATAGAAAACTTATTTGGAATATGTACTAGTTTCTAAATCATTAATGATCTGCCTTACCTGTGTTTCACTAATCCATAGACTTGGATTCAAAAGAATAAGACAGAGAAGTTTGACTTGGGGGAAGAAAAAAAAAAAGAAAAAAAAAGAAAAACCAGAAAAAAACCAACAGACATAAAACACCCACATAGAGAATATGTCTATTTGTCACTACGGTCACAATTTCTCAATTTGGTTGGAATCATCAATACTGTTGTGGGGGCTAGGAAAAAAACCCAGAGTTGATAAGTTTTGCCTTCATTGTTGTTTAGAACTATAATCCTGTCCTATGTCTATTTTGACATACCAACTAATAATAAAAAAAAACCCTGACTTTCTCATTGTTAAAAAAAAAAAAAAAAAAAAAAAAGCAAACCTCCCAATCTGTCTGCTCATTTGGGCTTCAAAATAGGAAATTCACCATAAATGTGTATGAATTATAGGAAAGGACTATATTTCAAATTACTAGACTTAAAAAAGATATTACATCTCATTAATAACTCATGACTTTAGGTCCAACAGAACAAAAGTTAAAAGACTGCTTACATAAGCTAATATTTCTAGCCCTATATGGAAGTTCCACTAAATATATTGCACTATTTAAACTTCCATCAGAATATGAAATACTGTTACACCACAGATTTAAGAGGGGGAAAAAAAAAAAATACTTGGGAACCTTTGGTTCTTCCAGCAATTTTAGTTATTTCCTGCAGAATCCAATTCTTTACTTTCTGTAACCCGAATCACACATACCTTCCTTTTACTGAGATATAATAGCCTTCCCCATATAAGTCAATGCACTGTGCCCTGTTAATCAATTACAGAGCACACTCTCCTGCCAGCATCGCAGCAGCAAAGGAATAAACTCTCTTCCATATCATTTATCTCACTGATATATTAACATCCCAGGCAGCTTAAGTCCATTTAAATGCTAACGTTTTGAAGCAAAAAGACACTTCCACTGCACTCTATTCTGTTTAGATCAAAAGAATTGATAACTTTGTCATAGGTGTGAGGACATTTGCTACTCTGACTTCGCTATTCAGAGGGAAATAACAGAATACATCCATCAGAAACAAGTCTCCTTAAATTTCAAATAACTAGATCAATGGAAGCCTGGCAACCTAATGTTGTCAAATACAAATGCAAAACATCTGGAATCCTCAATCTTCAAATTT